TATTTTCATGTATAAAAATGTGCATGTTAGAGAGATGGTTAGCCACATCAGCCTGAAGCCAGGCAGAAGGTATGGCAAGGTGTTTACTTTATTGGTTAGCACCAAACTGGTTAGCACCTTTAAGAAGAGAGTTAGAAAAGTAATCTTTAAGGCTAGGGACAGACATTACATACAAACTGGTCGAAGTGATCAGAAACTGGTTTAAACCTGTAACAGAACATAAATTCAGTGCACATAAACCAGTTTCAAAATGGCTGAAATTGGTTTGAGATGAACCTGGTTGAATCTAATATCAGACTTACCTGATTTGGGTGAAACTGGTTTATGCAATGTCTGTCCCAGACCCCTATCTCATCCACATGAGGTTATGAGGGGATAAATATTGCTCCCAGTCTATTCTTGACTTATAAAATGAATTATCAAGCTTCATATAGTAGATTTAGCCACTATCAAAATGCTGAAATAATTGTTCTAAAAACTTACTGGATATAACAAGTTTCGTGCCTGTACCGAAGACTTTTTCAGTGTCCACGGTGTTGCATATTACTACAAAAACCACATGGGATATTTCTACTAAAAAGGCTTGGATCTTAACCCACAAAGTATGAACAGGAACAAGGGAGAGCCAGTGCACCCAACCAAATGCATGAAGAAAATATCAATTTATTTTTCAACCTTAGTTATCATGAATATATGCAACACCTGTAATCTATTTCTTCTCAAAACATTTCATGCTAATCAATTGAATAAAGCCAATTTTAAAAAAAGGATTACTCAACTGAGAATAAAAGCAGGTTCATTAACTACATTTGACCTCAAAAGCAGTTTTTGCTTGTTCTGCACACATGTGGATAACATTGTCCTAACTGAAATATAAAGTTATACAACATGGGTTCAATCCTGGCCCCCTTGATCTCAATGGGAGTTCTGCATTGACCTCAACAGAGCCTGGATTTCATTTCATGCACACTGAAAAGATGAAAGCTCCTATATAAGACCTATAGGATCTGCAGTCAAATTCAGCCCAGACAAAATTCCTAATGAATTCATGTTATGCCCACTTGCACTGTTCTCTCTATTTTTCTCTGGGGGAGCAATTTTAGCCTGTATTTGATATTTATCTTAATTGTTTTATTGTATCCTATACTTTCAATATCCAAGGAAATCTTATAAACAGTGTCATGTTGACTGACAACGTGGGTCCAATTTTGTGTTCTTTACTCAGTCAAAGCTCTTGGTAAATTTACAGGAGTTTTGCTCCAAAATAAAAAAAGATGTAAGAATATTTTTTTTTTGTAAATTACATAGATTAGCAGTATAATACTACACTTTATCTCAGAGATAACTGACTTAAAGCAACATGCTGATCTGATATATTGAGAATGAATTATATTGATAGTTTATTCTTTTTAACAGGCAGCATTACAAAATGTTACCTTGCCTTGAAGTCAGTAATGAACTAAGATAATCTTGCCTATGAAATGAATAAGTTTTAGAGTACTTGACTGTGGCAGTTCTAGTCTTTTTTATTTTATAAATGTGCCTAGAGTGATTCTTAAAGAGGAACAACCTGATGTGCCCTGTATTTGTGCACTTTTTTACACCAGCATGTGGTGGAGTGAAAGCATTTTCCTTCAACTTTGCATTAGTATAAATGGCCACATAATTGGAGGGTGAAGGCAATTGAGTGCATATTGTGTAAAGAATAATAAGAATGCTTGAGCCACAGTCACACTCCTGTGCCAACCAGCAATACTTGGAGCTAGATTTTTTCCTTTATACTAGCGTAACCAAAGAAAGAATTCAACTGTGAATATACTCACCACGACACATTCAACTCCATTATTTTTATGGAGAAGCAGGATATTTGCTACCACCGCTTATTTCACATCTGCTTAATGGTATGCTCATTTATAAGTTTTAATTGAAGAGCAAGTACAGATTTATATGACACTGTTCTCAAAAACCTGTATCTTCCTATAGATAAAGCCATGAAAAAATGTTGCCCAACAGTTGATCTTTAGACAGTCATCATCTTGAAACCAAATACATTTTAAATCGATCAGAGAATATTTCAGGTTTGCCCCCAGACCAAAAAGTTGATACATCTGGTTTCAGATCCAAAATTGGATCTAGCCCTCAGTACCCATTAAAGTCAACAAGAAATGATTTTGCCCAGCCCCACAGAAAAGATTGTGATTTAAATTTTTAAGAAGACTGTGGATCAAAACATTTTTCTATGATCACAAAAATCTTTTTTATCTGTGGAAGACAGTAATTAGCAGGCAACTTACCTGATACAACAAGCCTTGTACCAGAGCCAAATACCTTGAAAGAATAGCCAGTACTAGCTGTATCACAGTGGGTAAATCCTTTACAAATATCTATACAGACCTAATCTTTTTTATGGTGATAAATAGTAGGGATCACTTTTAAAAGAAAAAAAATCACTATTTACATTTCTTTCCCACCTTCAAAAATATTAAGTAAAGAGAATACTTGTAAGATGAAAAACCAGTGGGGGGAGATTTTCAAGAATATAAATGGTACCTAATGATTGAATTTCAATCATAGTTTAGATGTCACAATGCCTTTTTAAATCTCTCCCTAATCTGGACCCAGCACGGTTAATATTATAAATATTTGATTTTAAATATTCATAGAAAGGAATAAGTTGCTTTTTAAATTGGGGTCCCTAGGCTATGGTTAAAAAATTAGTCTGTGTACTGCTTTAATTTCATAATGAATAACCACTCACAAATTAAAGAAGATTGTTATAAAGATTAAGAGTAAAATATAGCTGCTACAATGGGATTGATTTTGGAAATAATTTTAGGTAATTTCTTTCATTTTATATAAACAGATAAATTCCAGGTAGAAAATATGTTTTCCTTAGAAATACCTTCAGGCATTAGTTACCCTAACAGGAATAAATTATCAGCTAAATAACCATCTTATTGTCCCCCGTTGCTGTATGGAATCTGTATGATCTTACTAAGTTTAGTTCTCATCTGACCTTACATTTAAGCACATGCTTAAGTATTTTGCTTAATAGAAGTAGCTTTTAAACACATACTTAAAGGCCTTCCTGAACTAAGGCTTTTATTAGTATAGTATCCTACTATAAGTATAATCCTAGAGTTTTAGGAGAACCACTGGGAGTTTTGTCACTGACATCAGGATTTTGCTGCCCAAGTACAGTTTGAATTTTGCTGTGGAAAACAGATATGGGTGGTTAACTACAGTGGGGTTTGAGAAAAAAAAGACCGTGTTACATTTGTTTTATAAACATGGTCTAAAGCTTTGAGCCTTTGGAATTTTTTTTACTAATATCCAGTATTAGTGGTTCAGAATAGCTTTGTTTACTAACATTGCCTCTACCTTTCTTAAAAGGTAAAATGAATGAGCAACTCGTTACAGAATCTCAACCTAAAATTTAGAAATAGATCTTTAACGGTATCTTAACATTTTTGGAATACTTCTCACAGGGCTAAACTGGCTTGTGAATGAAATAAGGGCCCCCAGTACTTGAATCTGACATTTTTATCAGACAGCAAGAGCAGGCTTTAAGGAGAAACATCTTTTGAGACTTATTTGAAACCATCAACTTGGTGCTTTTGCCAAAGTGCTTTACTTCTGATGCACATTTTTGTAATGTCTACAAAAACTAATTAATCTTCAAGGTATGAATTTCAACCAAAGAAAATCTGAGATCAGTATTTTAAAAAGACACAATCTAGACAAGAGTTACCAGAAATGCCATTGTATATTCAACTGAATTCAAGCACTTTTTACATTTGAATTTAGTTCTTTCTGCTAAAATGCTTTCAGCTCCTTGACTTACATGACTTCTTGGCAATACAATTGTGTAGAATGTTTCAAAAGAATGACCAGGAATTCACCCAAAGTTCAATCAAGTCCTTTCATTAACTTCAACTTGTGACAACTTAAAAATTCATAGTGTCAGTTTGTTTTATATGGTTATGATATATGATTTTGATAATAGTGTACATTTCCTGGAGAATATAATATGAACATCATTATATGTAATCAACCTTGAAATTATAACCTATATTATTGTTTCTAACATTTTTATATATTGTAAACATACTTATATATGCAAGAGGGAAATGGTCCTTTCAGTATAACATGAACCATGGGATATTTCACCTCCTAGCTAATTTCAATCCGAGACATTATGGGATGCAGACCTGGTACCATCCTGCCTATAATAAACTTTTCTGTTTTCCATCTGCTTTTTCACTTGTAACTTATTCTGTAAATATTCAGGTGTTTTCATCTTATCAACATCATTGCACCAGGGATGAATTGGGACCACTATTTTCATAGAATCAGGGTTGGAAGGGACCTTGTAGATCTTCAAGTCCGACCCCCTGCCTGGGCAGGAGGGAAACTGGGGTCAAGTGACCCCAGCCAGGTAGGCATCGAGCTGCTTCTTAAAGACCCCCAGGGTGGGAGCCAGCACCACTTCCCTTGGAAGTTGGTTCCAGATCCTAGCCACCCTGACTGTGAAGTAGTTCCTACGGATGTCTAATCTAAACCTACTCTCCAACAACTTGTGGCCGTTATTCCTTGTTATCCTGGGGGGCGCTAGGGGAAACAAGGTCTCCCCCAAACCCTTCTGGTCCCCCCTAGTGAGTTTATAGATGGTCACAAGGTCCCCCCTCAGCCTATATTTTCAATGTCTTCATTGCCCACCTCTTCAGTCCTTATTAAGTTTTCAATAAACATCCCAGAAATTATATTATTAAGATTAGGATAATATATTTAAGATTAGGATTTATATTATTAAGATTAGGATAACGTATTTCCCTAAATCCATCCTCTAATGGCAATGGGAACTCCATCCACTAATCGTTGATAATATTGGGTTCATTTTCTTCAATTGATTTATGTCTATCTTTCCAATAATTGCCCTTGCAACAGTTTACCCCCCCAAAAAGCCCCCAACTAAACCAAATAAGAATCAAAATACTTACTAGAAACCACGAGTTTGGTTCCTGTGCCAAAGTATTTGATCCATGTTGTAGTAGCACAGTGTTTTTTCTTTGTACAAAAAGTTACCATACTTAACTGAAGCTGGTGGTTCATGGTTGAAAAAACTGAGCCCTCCAGCCAATCACTGGGAGAATACTTCACAAGAAATACTGTTGGTTCCTTGAGGGTTTAAAAATTAACTTCTGATTTTTCATGCCTTCATTCAGGTCTATTTGAGATCTTTGTGACTTTTCCATTAAATAACTCATCAACCTATTTTCCTCAAATGGGAACCAGGCAGGGACTGCTGTTTTGGATTTTTATGAGACTGGTAGGTCAGATGGATTTAACATGTTTTCAACATGTGATCACCTATTAAATGAGAATTTGACTTGGGGATCACAAGCCTTTTCAGGCACAATAGCATGGCCACCTTTCCTGCAGTCAGCAATCAGATAAATTCTCTGTTGCAGCTGTAGCAACTGCTTACATGGGAAAATAATGGTAAAATAATGATTTGTTTTTAGTTGTCTTACTACAGTTAAGCAGAAGGAAATGAAGCAGCATTCTGGAAAAAAGCCAGTTCTGTACAGACCACTACAAAGAGTCCTATAGGCAACATATTTTGGCTGTCTCTTAGGATAATAAAATCATAGAACATTAGGGTTCATAGATTCATAGATTGTAAGGCTGGAAGGGACCTCAGAAGATCACTGAGTCCTGGCCCCTGCACCAAGCAGGAAAGATAACTGGGGGTCAGGTGACCCCAGCAAGGTGACTGTCTAGTCTCCTCTTGAAGATATCCAGGTTGAAAGTGACCTCAAGAGGTCATCTAGTCCAACCTCCTGCTCAAGCAGGACCATCCCCAAGTAGATCATCCCAGCCAAGACTTTGTCTAGCTGGGTCTTAAAAACTTCCAAGGATGGAGATTTCACAACCTCTCTGGCTAACCTGTTCCAGTGTTTTACTATCCCCCTAATGAGAAAGTTTGTCCTAATATCTAAACCTAAATTTTCCTTCCTGCAACTTCAGACCATTGCTCCTTGTTTTGTCATCTGCCACCACTGAGAACAGTCTAGCTCCATCAGTTATACTGTCAGCCTCTACAATGTCTTATGGAAAGTAGTCCCACAGGTTTTTTACAGGGGGAGGGAACAACAATTCCCTCCCTCCTCCCCCCCCCCCAAAAAAACCCCTTCCTTTTAGTTTGAAACCCACTTCTTAATAATTTCCTCATGTGTCCTAGATCTGGTATCGTGAGAGAAAGTAAATAGTAAATCCCTGCAGACACGAGACAAAGAAAGCCGAGGCATGCATGGAAGTCAAGCTGGCACCTGAAATTAAAGACAAGAGATCCTTCTATAGGTACATAGGGAGCAAGAAAAAATCAAGCTCCACTGTGGCCCCCCCACTGAATGTGGAGGGGAAGCCCACAGTTGACCCCCGTGAAAAGGCAGAGCCCCTTAATTCTTACTTTGCATCAGTATTCCTGAAACCAAGCGAGAACTTGTCACCTATCCAGAGGTGCAGAGAATACGGTGATGACAGCATTCCAATCAGGCCCAAACAGGTGAAGATACTCTTAGATCATTTGGGTGTTTTCAAGTCGGCTGGGCCAGAAAACCTGCATCCAAGAGTGCTGAAAGAAATGGCCAAGCTCATAGCAGTGCCTCTGGAGCGGCTGTTCGAAGAGTCATGGAATTCAGGAGTAGTCCCAAATGCCTGGAAGAAGGCTAACATGGTGCCCATCTTTAGGAAAGGAAAGAGGGATGAGCCTGCTAACTACAGACCAAGTCAGTCTGATTTTGGTCCTAGGAAAAATCTTTGAAAAAATTGTCAAGGAGGCCATCAACCACAAGCTCACAACTGGTGGAGTACTGAGAAACAACCAGCATGACTTTGTCAAGGGGAGGTCGTGCCTAACAAACCTGGTATCCTTTTATGACCAAGTATCTAACCAGCTGGACATGAGACAGGAGGTAGATGTCTTCTACCTAGATTTCAGCAAGGCCTTTGATACCGTTTCCCATGAAATCCTCTCAGTTAAGTTGGAGAGTACAGGCCTAGATCAGGCTACAGTGTGGTAGGTTGGCAACTGGCTCAGCGGCCGATCTCAGTGAGTGGTAATTGATGGACTGGACTTGATGATCTCACAGGTCCCTTCCAGTCCTTCAATTCTATGATTCTTCTCACCATTCATTAGTTTGTAAACTTTGTTATATCTACTTCCCTCTCAGTTGTATTTTCTCTAAAAAATGTCTCTCTCCTATTTAATCTCTCCTTGTATGGAAGCCTTTCTATTCCCTTGATCACCCTGGTTGCCATGGGTGCCTGGTGCCTCCTGAGTCTGGGGGGGCACCAGATTGCTGATGGGGGGGGGGTCATCCCTGGGATCCCCCCCAGTGGCTGATCGCTGAGCCAGCAGCAAAACTGGCAAAACCAGAAGTGCACTTCCGGTGGCACTTCCAGTTTCACAGCTGGCACTTCCAGGGGTGCACGACTGATCTCAGGGGATTGACCATTCACATACTGAAGTCAGGGTTTATGGTATCATGACTTTAGATATTATTAGCAAAGTGTATGTCAGAACATCAGTTTTAAAATATTGTTCTTCTCAGGTGTCAAAAAAACCCACAGAGTTTCTGTAGCAGTTTCCCATCTGAGGAAGGATTAGAGAGGTGATTGTGGTTTCAAGCACTTACTGCAGTGTGATGATTTTTTTTTTTTTTGTGCAGATTGCCTATGATTTTCTCACTCTGTTAGTATGTATATCCCAGTATGCACAGCAGTAATGCTGGCATCCATTTTCTTTGCACTGTTTGTTTGGAAAATACATCAGGACTTTTGAGAATATTTCCCTAAGGGCAAACCTGTTTTGCAGAGAGAGGTCCTCCTCAGAAGATTCTCCCAATGTGAAGTACAGAACATTTTTGGAATTCCGTTAGGGCTCTAATGATACCAATGTATAATGGTATTGTCAATACCTTGAGAGTTGCCAGTAATATCACAGTTCATACATGCACTCCTGCCTTCTCCTCTGAACTCTGCACTTTGGGTGATTAACTTTTGCATGTTCATCTAGAAAAAAGGGAACAGAGATTGCACCACAAAAGTGAAAGGGAATGACTGAGGCACTGCGATACATGGCCTGTGTAACAATGGGGGTACTTAGCCAGTGCTTTCCAAGCAGAGGTTTCCAAAGCCCTTAATAAAGGAAAAGGATCCTTCTCCCCCTTTTACAGCAGGGAAAATAATTGCTGGCACTGCAAAAAGGAAAGCATTGCGCAAAAAGAAGCAAGTGACCCCCACTTCCACAGGGGCAAAACAGGGAACAGAGCACAGGTTTCTGAGTCCCAGGCCAGTGCTCCATCAGGCCAAACTGGGCCATCAAGCTAATATTCCCTCAATCACAATTACCACTGCAGTCCCGGCTGCAGGAGTCTAGCACTGATTTCATTCAGGACTGCAACTAGGCCTTCTTTGCTCAGTAATGAGCACCAGTTGAAAAGGGCAGAATGGAAAAAATGACTTACAAGACCAAACTGTAGTCACTAAAAAAGCCTGCAGCAGTAACATCTTGAGTAATTGGGTAGAATATATAAGGGAGAAACAGGAATATGAAACAAAGCCTTAGACAGAAAGAGGGAGGAAGTGACTCCTTTAAGTAGCATCCAATGGTGGTTCTGGCTGCAGGCATGTAGGGCTACATTTCTGGCAAGGTTAAACTGTGTGTAGATGACAGATCTGATTCCACTGCCCTGTCTCAGATCTAGAACAGGTCTGCTGCCAAGTGTCTAGTGCACCCTGTGCTAGTATAGCCCCCTAATGATATGCCATGCACTGATCTTATTCTGCCTTTCTATAAAGGCCATCTATTTGCTAACTCATTGCACAACATATTGCTTCAATGGGGTCAGGTAAAATGTTGTCACCAGATTGCAGTTTCCATCCATCAAACACATCATATAATATATTGTTATCACTTAGGTAAAGTTTGGTATAAGTACATATTGGTCTTTGTAAGAATGATTATAATACCATGTCCAGAATTCATCTGTAGATTGACAGGATCCCACAACACTTTTGTATTAGAAACATCAAGGTGATCTTTTACTGAGTTCTAGTCAGAACTACTCACTGCAGAGAATTTTTCTACTTGAGCAAAATGGAAGAACTTTCTTTAGTTTTCTGCCTGTGACTGCGGTTTTTTGAGCACACATCCACTATTATCAGCCCTAGAGGTTCTTGTCTGTTGACACACTGGTAAGTGTGCACCCAAAGCAAGCCTCAGTTCCCCAGACAGAGTAACTGAAAATTGCTGCCCAATTGAACTATTAATCTCCTTTTACGGTCTAGGCAGGTGGGATCCCATTGTTTATTTGTCAATTGTCTGCCAAAGGAGCTATATGGTATGTTGTCTTTTCTTGGCTGATGGGGCAAGCTAGGAAGGAATATATGGAGCTGATTCCAAGCTGAAGAGCTTAGTGAGGGATGCAGGCATGGTTTCAAATATCTGACAGCCCGTGGTTTAGAATACAAAGAAGGTTTTTGTACAGCTGCTCAATGCTTTGCTAACAATGTGCTTCATCCCAAGAGGCACAATAATACATAGCTGCATCATCTGTACTTATGTCATGTATTGTCAGAGAATACATGCCCTTAGTAGACTCCTGTCTTGCTGAAAACTTTTTCTCAGACTCCTTGTCATAGACAGCTTTTCCGGCTGACAAGTACAGAATCCGCTCTGGACCTTCCCCAGGCTTGTGTCGATACCAGTGTATAACAGTGGTAGTCCCAGTAACATGGCATTTAATAGATGCAGATTTAGTTTCTTCCCTGGTTTTGGAGGGTTCTGATTGTTTCAGCACCAGAGCATCTCCATCTACAAAAAGAGGAAGAGACAAAGATGTCATGAGTATGAAACTGAATGAAGTTGAAGGATCTCAAATTATCGTCCATTGGTGTTCCTCCTTGTAAAGGGCCAACTTACAAGAGCAAATTAGCGAAGCAAGAAAAATAACCTGCAGTGGAAACATGATAGCTAAATTATGGTGCTCCTGGTTCTGAGACCCAGAGGAAGAGAATTTCTAATCTGAAACAGAATGGTGCACTTGGAGAGAGGAAGTGAGTGACTCATGTGCTAAGTAGCCAATGGTAGCTCTCCTGGCCTTGTATGAGCTATTGAAAGGCAATTTAGATGTATTCTTGCTCTGTGTAAGAATTTAAAAGGCGGGACTTTTCATTGATTCAATGATTATGTTTTGAAGGGAAAGGGGACGGTTTGACTGTAGGTTAGGGTACAGGTGTGGATTTGGGGATTGTGTGGGGGAAAAAGGAAAAAAAGGATGTGGCAAGTGGTAATGTGAATGTAAATGTAACTCAGTGAAATGTGTGAAATGTTTGGGAACTGTTTGGTCACTGTCAAACTGTACAACCAAATAACTATATATATAGATTTACTTTCTTTTTTATAAAAAGAAATATGATTAGACTGCCACAAGGGACAGTTGTTTGTCATCTAATCTCACTTCCTACATGACCATAATTCATAGATTCATAAGATTTCCATGAATTAATGTTTGATGGAAATAAAGCAAAACTTTTGGGGAAAGAAGCATTCATTCTTGATTGGAAAATGGCCAGCACTAAAGAACGCCACGCCATACCTGGTAAGTTTTAAATTGCCTAGACCTAGAGAATTTGTAGATTCTCCATCACTAGAGGTTGTCAAGAAGAGATTAGATAAGCATTGGTCATAGATGATCTAGAAGTAGCTATGCCTGAAGTGTTCTGCAAAGAGTAATAGTTAGAAGCTGAGGAAATCCCCCCTCCGCTCTACACACTTGCAGCAGAATCATAGAAAAGTAGGGCTGGAAGGGACCTCTAGAGATCATGTAGTCCAACCCCCTGCCTGAGGCAGGATCACCCCTGTTCAAATCATGCTATACAAATCCGTCATCTAACCTATTATCAAAATTACACAATCAGCCATGCCACACAACCATAAAGCATAGTGCCCTAATCTGCCACAGGTAAAATAAGGGGACAACAGTGGCCAATGTCCTGCTACTCCAAGAATTGTTAAGATTTGCTCAAGAGATAGAAGGAAGAGGGTCATGGCCCCTTCTACTCCCTCTCATGCATGCCAAAGCTGGCGATTCATCAGTGAAGCCACTTTAGATCATCCCAGTCAATGACTCTGAAGTGTCTCTGGTGTGCTTGAAATATATTCAGGGAGGAGGACATATCAGAGTTGTTTCTGCAGGGGAGCTGAGAGGCTAGAAGCTGGTAAAGGAATACTGGATGGCTTAAAATAATGAATATTTTTTTTGTTTTTCAGGAACATCCTAATTAGCCATTGTACATCCTGCATGTGGTAGGTGAGGTAGGCTTCTGCTTCCTTGTATTCACCCCAAGGATCCCAAGAGCCATTGACAAATACTTTGCTAAACTGGCTTGGTGTGTAGAACTTGG